TTTTAATTGAGTTCTTGACTCCGCTATTACATTTTGAAATTTGGATCTAAGCTTTTTGGTACACTGGGGTTCTTAATCTGTGCTGTGGTGTGCTTCTGGGGTTTTACGGAGGCATACTCACTAAGTGCTTGTACTTTTCTCTTTACACGCATGTGGTGTGTGTTTCTATGAATTAACTCACGTGGGCCTGTACAATATGTGTTTAGACATTTTTCTCGTTACCAGGTATAGGCATAATTAATCTTTACAAGGTATCGGTGTATTAGTGTGTGATATCATGATTTTGTCTGTACAAGGGATAGGTATACTTAATGTGTGTTTTATGATTTTATCTTTACAAGGTATCGATATATTAGTGTGTGATATTATGATTTTATCTGTACAAGGTATAGGTATGCTTAGTGTGTGTTTTATGATTTTATCTTTACAAGGTATCGGTATATTAGTGTGTGATATTATGATTTTATCTGTACAAGGTATAATTAGTGGGTGTTTTTATGATTTTGCATTTGAAGTTGGAGGAGGCTGCTCGTGTATTGTTCACAGCACGACATGCGGACAGATCGGACTTGCTGGTTGCGGATTGCGGGCGGGCTTTTAAGCGGACGGACTTGTATTTCGTAAGGAAGCAAAAACGCTTCCTTACACAATGGTTTTAATAATGTTTCGTTTTTTCATTTTTCCGATTTTTGGTTCTATTATTTGTCCTTTTATTTAATTCAGTTTTTATTTATAGCTGTTTAATTTTCTATATTTTTTTTTGCCTTTTAGATTTCTTTTACTCTTTGCCACATGTGCATAATGCTCTGTTTTTTTCTCTTACCAGTTGTCCGGTTCATGTGTGGTTTTCTTTGCGGTTTTTGTATGTTTTTTTTCCTTCTACTCACTCATGTGTGCAGAGGTGTTGCCTTTGCGATTTGTGCAAAGTGCACTTCATCCATTATTTAATTGGATAGTTTGTCGTTCTTTTTTTCTCTTTGGTTCTTTTCTTTTTCTTTTTGCTTAAATGTGCAGTCACAAATTAGACAATATATTTCGTTTTGCGATTTTATTGTTCATGGTCTTTTTTTTTTCTTTTTTTTTGAATATTTCCGTTTGTTTGTCCAATGCTGTTTCTTGTTTCTTTTGCATGCTGTGTTTTTGGCAAGGAACATTCTATTTTTGTATAATCATGATTTCGATTGTTCTTTTTTTCTTTTCTCTTTGATATTTTTTTTCACTTTGAATTTTTAAATGCTTTACTTTTTTTTTGTTATTTTAAAAGAAAAGAGTCCCTGCTCGGGCGCCAATTGCGAGGACGTTTCGTCCAGTTTCCTTAGGCTGGGGCAGCTCAGCGGCCCAGGGAAAGATAACACGCAAGAAATGAATATTCGCGGAGACACTTTTATTTCTTTCCATCATTACTTTTTTACTTTGTTTTATCACTCACTTAAGTAACTGCCTGTCTATAACCGACTACGCTACTCGGGAGTCTACTCTCGACGACTACTCTAAGAAGACGTCTAAAACTCGTCTCACCTCATCAAAGCTAAAACTATTCTACCCTATTCTATTCTTATTCTATTCCTATCCTATCTTAATCTAGCACTCCCTTCCTCTCACCAGAGACGGAGAATCCGTGAGGCCAAAACGAGGGACGACTTTGGGTACTCACAATATATATCCAAATGTATTCAGATTATTAATTTGGTAAAATTGTCTCAATTACTCTTCTTTTTCTTCACTTTTTCAATTTTTCAAAAAATTCTGTTTGGGAAATTTTTTTTTTCCTAATTGGATTTTATTTCGCACACACACAAAAAGAATTTAGGTCTCTTTCTAACCTCAAAAAATGATTTGAACTATCTATTTTTTCGCACGCATATGTTCTGTACAGAGTCGTATTTAGAGAATTTAAATGCATATGTTCATTCTTATATAACCACTAGTAAGATATAAAGAGAAAAAGCATGCCAGTTGAATTTGTATGAAAAACACTAGTAAAATATAAAAAGAGAAAGCATGCCAGTTGAATTTATATGAAAACCCTAGTAAAATATAAAGAGAGAAAGCATGTCATTTGAATTTGTATGAAAATACATAAACTAAAAAGCCGCTTTCCTCATTCTCTAAAGCAGATTGGCTGTCTCATCGTTCACGCCAATAATTTTTCGCGTCATCGTAAAACAAGGTATCCCATTTGCATAAGCAAAACCCACCCTTATGCTACACAGACAGACTTTATTTTCTTGTTACCTACTCTGCCAATGATGCAATTAGTAAAGTAAATATTAGTTTGAATCCTCTTTGCTTAGAGTTATATAGACAGGCTACACATGGCAAAGGTACGGTTCTTTCCGGATGGATTCCAGTTCTCGATACAATGCACGCCATACCTGGCGAAGTAAATATTATTGTTAAAGTGGATCTTTTTTCGGATGTGAATAAATTTCGAGTGGTATACCGTTTTTCCACTGTATGCGTATTTTTAATCCCAAATCGGCCTATATAATTTTAATAAGTCTTACGCGCATTTTAGCTAAAGCCTTGAAATTGCTTAACTATTTAGGTGATCCGTTCGAGCTCCTTATAAAGCGTGGTGCGCTGCTATATTACGCTGATTGAATATGATGTCGACAATGTCTTCAATTATATACAAACTCTTTTATTTTTCAAGTCATTTGAATTGTGCCGTCTGATCGGTAAATGCTTTAGTTTTCTTTGTATCGTATTAGCTATTATTATTTATGAGTTTTGCTTGTTAATTTCAGACGGTGATTGCGAAGGTTTTCTACCTTTAATGGATGAATTTCTTAACAGTAGAGATTTGGGTGATTTGGTGACTAATAAAGCTTTGCAGTATTTACTTAAATTAATTTATGAATACATACACGGCACTTACAAAAATTCAGAACCGTATTTAGAGCAAAATGAAATTTCCTAATTAATGAATTCATAGAAATAACAAAAACTTTTTTACAAGTAAAAAAGAAAAATATTTCAGCTTTTTGGATCAAGTATTTTTTCTCGTTAATCGTAAATAAATATTTTGCATAGTTTTCAAGTTATCAAATGTCTGTATGTCATTATCATAATTCTGTCTACCCATTTGCCTCTACGTACGGAGTCAGCCTGTATTTGTTAACAATCGGTCACATCTGAGAGTAATTGAAAAATGATTTGCTCACATCTGAGAGTAAGCGTCTGAATTTGGTCACATCTGGTCACAAAAATAAGTGCAGTACGTAATCTGCTTATAAAAAGTAGTTTCGCATTTAATTAAATTAGCTTGTTCTTGTGATTGCGTTTTAGCTTTAAATAATAACGGAGATTTGTTCGGATGAGGAAATTCAGAATATGGTTAATTAAATGATTCGGACGCAGCTAAGGCTTAGGACATAAAAAAGACCAATTCTTCCCTTTTAAAACCGTAATCAACGGTAAAGAAACTATAGTAGCCTATGGAGTGGATCGTACTCTGGCTATTTCTAAAGCTTTCATTTAATAAATGCATTAAATAATTTCCGAAGGAAGCTATCTGTCTGGATTCTTATTTGCAGTCAACTACTGGACTATCCATTAAATGTGGAACACACCACGTCTTTCATTTTTAAAAAATGTGTTTTCCATAATAAGAATCCTTTTCTGATTTTTTGGAGAGCCTTAAGTTTTAGAGAAAGGAAGTCTAATTAAAAAGGACGCGCAGTCGTCGCAATTGCCAATCTTCTGATTAACGTTGGCGACATTTGCAACATTGACAATTGTGTGCACCGAGCGGACTTCTCAGGTCTCGTCGGCCACCTTACCATTTCAGTGCCAAATATTTTCTTCTTTAAACCACCAGACCTTGCTAGTGCGTTCGCTACTTCGCACACGAAGACATTTGTTGCATTGGCTATGATTAGTTATATTGATAATCAAATTAATTGACGTACAATTTGTTTTCCAAATATGAAATATAAAATTTAGAGCTAAAATGACTTATGATGATGTGAGAGGTGTAAACAATACTTAAGCATATGTTTTGCACTTGCTGTAAAAACTATACCACACAAAGCATTATTTTCTGATACCGCTGTAAGGTTGGTTTGCTGTAAGCATGATGGAGCCAAGAAAAATGTGTTAAATGTCTCAGCTATTGTCAACAGAAAGCTTTTCACAGTTATATAGTAAAAACTATCAAACGACAGCAGTTTTGCAACAGCAGATACCATATAAGGTACATAATTCTTGGCCAACATAGGAACACTGTATATCCGTCCGTCCTTATTTATACTTTTTTATTCAACAGTGAAGCTCCATATTGTTTAAGTAGCTACATAATCTCGGATCTCCAGATTAAAATATCGAGATCTCGACTGTTAAAATATTATAATACTAAAATATGGGACGCGTCGTAAGCATTTCACTTATGTAATGCAAAATTAGAAAGAAAATATGTGGTCCCAAATTTTTTAGCCTTCACTATCCTTCGACATGACGTTAGTTGACGTAGCTACAGGTTGTAAATGATTATTTATTTGATTTACCATTAAGTAGAGAGCAAAAATTTTCTATGCTTGTAGATGTCACTACAGAGAACAAGCAAGTTTGTAAGTTTGAATATACGCTATGGTATACCTAAAATTGTATATATACGAAAAAAAACCAGAGATTAGGTAACAAACATCATTTGTTTTCGTTCATCGTTTATTTTATATATCTAGATTTTCCAATGCTTGCGAATCAATGAAGTAATCGGTGAATATATTCGTCCTTGAAAAAGACAGACTCCTACATTTCATTAATTTTAATTTCATAAAATTTAAAGAACACCATATTAGTCAAATTGAAGGAGATATGAATGCGCTTCCAAAACAAAAGAAGAAAATATTTGATGTACAAGATGAACAGAAAGAGTACAAGATTTGGTTGCGAATCTGATTGCGAACGTCCTAACCTAAAAATCAGTCAGCAAAAAGAGAACATTGAAAGTGAAAAACGTGGTACATTTAAAAATATGCAGATATGTGAAATATTCTCAATTGTTGGTGACTCTGAATCCGGTAGCACTTTGCTTTTGAAGCATATGTATAATTTGTGTTCAAATTCAGACTCAAATGGAAAAAAAATTTTTATTTCATTTGCCTGCCTTATTTAAGAGATAAAGAAATTATTATTAATCATAGTTCTACAATAATTCAGAGTCGCCTTTTTCAATTCAACAAGTTATCAGCAAATCCAGACTCGCTCTTCTTTCTTTCTTAATTCTCGCCAAGTTCAGATTCTCTGAATTTCTAAAATCACACGTAGAGCCTCCCAGAATTTATAAAAAGCGAACCTAAAGTCTCTAAAACTGAACAAAAACCACTCAGAATGCATATGAGGAAAAATACATATGTTTTTTGATAGAAGTAAACAAAAGGTAAGAAATTTGTCATGAGACTCGATACTTTCATTGCCGGTTAAGCATATATCTTTTCCTGACAAAGAAATAAAATAATAATAAAAAAAAATGAAAAGGTCCCGTCGGTTGTCTACCGTCCGTCTGTCCACCGTAAGTTAGTCGGTAGTCGTCTTGCGTCTGACCTACATATGCACACCCCCCCCCTTTCGTCTTTCAGCTACAGCGGCGGCAGCTGTAACGCTTAGCCACTCATCGGGGACACAAAAAAGAAAAGGGAATTAAACAAACTAAAATAACTTACAATACTTGATGCGATCGGTGTCGAGGCGAGGTCGTTGCGGTAGTGCTACACCGGCGGTTCCTGTTCACAGCAAGGAAGTAGGAAGTTCGTTTTAAGTAGTCAGCACAATCACAACACAGCTGGGATGTAGGTGCATGGGGGTGCACGTAATTCATAAGCTACTGAAACTGGAAAATTATTCTTCTTCCTCTTAACGCATCTTGACTGAAGTAAACACATTGATCCTTTTTTTTTGTTTAGTTTCCTTTTTATTTTTTTTCTTCCTATCCTTTTTTTTTCTTTTAACAGGTAGTGACGTCAACAAAAACTTCGAGTTTTCCACACTAACGCTTAAGAAAGAATTTATTTCGGTAAGAATTTATAAATTACTGGAGTATTCCTTTTTCTCCTCGTTTTTCATAATCTACCAAACGCACTTGGCTTTTTGTTCATGGTGAATCATGAATCATGCTATTTTATCAAAAAAACTTGTGATTATTTTCCTTTTTGGATCGTTGGATTAAAACCCTTTTTTTTTCTTTTTTTTCTTCTATAATTTATTAAACGCACGCATACAAGGTAAAAATGTAATAATAATTCAGGTGCACATCAGTACTACAATCATGAAATCTAAGTAGACATTTTTGTTTCACGACTAAAGGTTACAATTTAAGCAACTATTTCTGCTTCTTGAACAAAATTTAAAATGTAATAATAATTTCAATGCACATCAGTTACAGCAATGAATTTTAAGTAGCCATTTTTGTTTCACAATCACAAGTTGAAATTTAAGCAAATATTTCTGTTTCTTGAATAAAATTTAAAATGTAATAATAATTTCAATGCACATCAGTTACAGCAATGAAGTTTAAGTAGCCCTTTTTTGATTCACAATCACAAGTTGAAATTTGAGCAAATATTTGGCAAGGAAGCTTAAGTAGGCATTTTTATTTCACAATCAAAAGTTAAAATTTAAGCAAATATTTGGCAATGAAGTTTAAGTAGGCATTTTTATTTCACAATCAAAAGTTAAAATTTAAGCAAATATTTCTGTTTCTCGAATAAAATTTACAGCGCACACTTGCTATTGCTTGCTCCTCGTTGTTAATTGCATATTTGTACTTTTCCCTTTTTTTTTTGTCTAATAATTGAAGATACAACTCGCGGACACGTCCGCACTCTGCCAGCTTCAAAGTTGTTCTCCCCTCTATCTTGAAAATGAAAAACAGACAAACTTCTCGTTCTTACTCAATTTCCCTCTTCTTCTTCCTGTTGCTCTTTCTATAGCGGCTTGCCGCTACTCTCGCAAAAGCAAGCACAGATCCCGCAAAATCATACGATTTTGCCTATGCTTGCAAAAGCAAAGAATCGTATGATTTTGCGGTACTCCTTTTTTTTTCCTTTTGCTCTTGCAAGCATAGGCAAAATCGTATGATTTTGCGGGATCTATGCTTGCTCT